TTCATATAATTTTTTTTCTTTGAAAGGTCAAGAGGCTATCTTTTTCTGATGCATATTTGACAGGCCATGAACCTATTTTTGTTTCGTGATGTTTGATGAAAGGCCAAGAGCCTACTGATTGTTTCTCTTTCAAAATTCAAAGCTTCGTTCATTCTAACGTTTGCCTCTGTTTGTGTAAAAATGTAAAAGGCATCTCCTTGCCTTTTCAGTCTCAGCCTTTGAACTATATTTGTCATGAATGTGTCTATTTGGGAATGACTTATATAATATATATACATATATATATATATAATTCATGGGATAAGTTCAGATAGAATAGGACGCGGCATGCGTGAAAGATCGTCAGTCGAGTCGACCTGAATTGTAAGTCGGTCCGGGAAATCAGCATCCCAATGTCCAACACGTAAACGGGTCAGTCTTAGGCGTTCAACCGTGCGCATATTCATCATGTATGTATCGATTTGAAATAACTTTATATAACATATATGATTTATGGGTTAAGTTCAGATATAATAGAATTTGGTATGCGCGAAAGATCGTCAGTCGAGTCGACCTGAATTGTAAGTCGGTCCGAGAGATCAGCGCCCCGATGCCCGACAAGTAAACGGGTCAGTCTTAGGCGTTCAACCGCGCGTATGCCTATGCTACGGCGATCGAGAAAACGCCCTCGGCCGACCTACCTCTACAAAGGCATGGAAAAACCTTCGCATGTGGGCCGGCAGCTCAGCAGGGATACGCCTACCAGAGGGTGGTGACAGCCCCTCGGGTAGAGGTAAGTGGTACCTCGCGACATCCCGACCTGTCGTAGGGCGTCGTGAGAGGTATAGCACGCGCGCACGGTCGGAGTGGTGACATGTGGTTCTTCAAAGGTAAAATCCTGCGTGACACGACCGTGAGGTTCAGCGCTCCCCAGCAGAGCGCGGGACCGCCGCGTGCGACAACGTGCATGCATGCACGAAGAACACGGAATTACAAGGACTTAGAAGGATGATTAGAGAAGGAACGCCTACATTCTGCATGGCCCAATCGTGGCGTGGGGGACGTAGCCGCTCTCCACACATCGATCCGATTATTCAGAGCGAGGCTACCAAAACTCAGCGAAAAGAAAGAGAAGAAGGGCGGGAAAGGCAAAGCTCAAGAAGAAAAGATACAGTTACAATGGCGCCTGCCTTAAGTTACAGTTACACACACGGCTCAAGGCGCCGACTAATCATAATTCCGTTGCAGCCGCAGGAAGAAGCGCGTAAGCAAAAAGGCGTTGCGCGGCAAAAAGAAAAATCCTAATTACAAAATTCCTAAATTTCTATCTAATGCGGAAAAAGCAAAAAGCTCAAACTCCAAAAAGAAAGTCTGAAATTCCGAGAGCCAACGAGGCTCGCCAAGATTCTCAAAGGAAAATTAAAAAAAAAAGCGACGCAAAATTCTCGCGCGATGTCCGCGCCTAAAAAATTTGAAACCGAAACAAAAGAAACGACGTCAACATTTATTAATCACGCGCATGACAACGCGCCGGAGACATAGTCAATCAATCAATCGATCGTCCCGGAACTCACCCGGGCCTGAACCCAACCATCCGAAAAGAACCCGACGCAAAAAGACGAAGAAGCGAGGACACCGATGCAATTTCCTTCCAATCCCGATCTCCCGTAATTGACCCAATCTTCCCAGCTTAGGACCCCTCATTGCAATCGCGCAGAAAGTCGCTCGCTACAGAAAGTGGTTCATCACATATGTGACGCCTAGGGGGTTGCAATATTACCGAGCTCCTGCTTGCTTGTTGACACGTGTCGATCTCTCGAATCGATCGACACGTGGAGCTTTCCTTTTGTGCCTCTTACCATTCGAATGAGTGTAGACGTCGTCCAGTGTGGCAAACACAGCTCCAACTACTTATTCCTCAGGAACGGCCATTGACAATCCAAGGAGGGGATTACAGGTGTCGATGCAGCGACACGCGCACCAATAGACCAATCATCAGTGTTCAGTGGGGAGAGGGAAGGGAAGACGATACATGGGAGCATGAGGAGCGGGCGGGTTAATCGGGAGAGGGGGCAGGAAACTATCCAACCTCGCCACCGTTTCCGGGAGTTCTTGATATCGAACGATCTGGTGGAAATGGGGGAAGCGATTACCACTATGGGGAAGGGAAGCAAGATAGTCTGGGTACAGGGTGGTGAAAGTGCGGAAGAGGGCCGCGCGGAAATGGTCGTAGTTTTCACATGAGGGGATAGTCCCCGTGATCATGCAGTAAACTTCGACCATATTGTGGCCTCGCCACGCGGCGCTCAGGAGAAGGACATGGAGGTAGAAGTCGGGGACGGCGCACCGGGTTGAAGGGTGGGGATGAATTGTGACAATAAGATGGGTGACGTAGAAGAAGTGAAAGGTGTCGAAGGGGAAGGGATTGCGGGGAAAGATAACGCGGGTAGTAGCTTGGCGGAGGGTGAGATGGTCAAGGGGACAGCGGGATAACGACCGGGGACGAAGCCCGATGCCCCGCATCAGTACGGGCTCAAACTGGTGGACGGTTGGTGGTGGAGGGGGACTTCGTCGTCGCCTTGCCGGTGCGGTCGAAGTCTCGGCAGCGGGGTCCCCATCCTCGGGCTTAGGCGGCTTTGGATCTCGCCCTGGGTCGTCGGTGGTCGGCGGACCTGCGGCGCTGGCAGACTCCAGCTGTCGCTTTCCGGCTGCGATCTCCTCTCTCTTCTGCGCTTGGGCCTGTGCTTGAGCCTCTGTACGCACCTCCTCCTCAAATCCTTCCCACTTTGACTCTTCTAGCTCCTCCTGATCTTCTTCTTCTTCCTCCTCTTCCTCCTCTTCCTCCTCTGGGCTTTGTTCCCCTTCGCTGTGCTCACTGTAACTCCCCTCTTCGGGAGTTTCTTCCTCGTCGGCCTCCTCTTCTTCTTCTTCTTCTGCTTCTGCTTCTTCTTCTGCCTCTATTGCCTCGTCCTCGGTCGCCGTTCGATCCCGGAAGTAGGCGGGATTGATGATCTCTCGTGGGCTCAGATAATCCCGCCGCGATGGCTGGTTGCGGTTGTTTCCCGGCTCCTCCAGGCACGCTGACCACTGAAGATACGGCGCCAAGGTCCACGTGAGAACGTGCGAGACCGGGTTCTCGTCACTTTGCGAGACGATCTCCAGGGGAAGATCGTCGGCTAGTTGTGCAAGTGGGACCTGGCGATGGCTGGGCCGCACCGATCCGAACAGGAATCCAAGAAGATCGCCCTCCACGTCTGTTCGTCGGGCCTGGATAATCAGCCACTCCAAGTACTCGCTCCACTCGCGATGGTCTCCGTCCCTTGCCCACGTGATTCGAACCCCAACCAGGCACACCGACAGCTCGACGAAGTGCTTGCGCCAAAGTCTCCACTGCCCCGGATCGAGAAGAGGGACTGCGAGCGGCTCTAGGAGAAAGGAGAGACGAGGGTGGAGACTAGATTGCCAGAAGGTGGGAAAAAGAGATGGGAGGGCAAAAGTGGAGAGTTGGGAGTGGTTCATCGGGGAGGCTGAAAGGGGATGAGTTCTGGCAGCACCACCGCTGGCTCGTGCTGGAACGCCCGGATCCCTCCAAGCTCGACGTCGTCCGTGGGGAAAAGATTCTCCCCGAGGCGCGTAAGAGAGCGGTTCCACTCCCCGGCCAGTTGCTGCGCCCACTTTCTCAGTTGCGTCCGAATGGCTGTATGTCGGAGCGCATTGACCGTGCTGATGTCACCGCTGAAACCGACGACCGTAGACACGTGGCTGATTCCTGGAGCTGATCGCCGATGGACAGCCACCGCTTCTGCCAGTATCACTGCCTGCGGACTGCCTGCGAATCGGAACTTCGCCACTGCATACACCCCTAAAGTGCAGAAGAACTGCGCTAGCCGTAGAAGATCCTGATTGAGTCGTGGATGGCATACCTGCCGAATCGCCGAGATGTAACCCCGTGGCGTTAAGAGATGGTCGTCGAGGGCTCGCTCTGTGAAAAAGCTCATGGCGATAGTGACGGGGACGGGGTTCACGCAGTTCGGTTCGAGCTCTGTATATGGGAAAGAACGAGATGAAGAAGGACAGATAGGTGATAAGCGGTCGTCGTCCTCTTCCGCAGCGGAGGAGGAATCAGATGAAGGCGAAGATGGGGAGGAAGGAAGGGGACGTAGGTAGGACACGTGGCGGATGATCGGACGAGCCGATCGGCTGCCGGAGACCTCAGGCGCAAGCCGCATGGTGTTCACGCAGTTCGGTTCGAGCTCAATCACGCGGAATCGCCCGAAGAATCGTGGCGCTAGCTTACCCTGACGAGCACATTTCCTTACCTGCACGATGTCCCCCAATTTGTACTGGGGCCGTGGACCTGCGTTCCCGTTCCGGGCCTCGTAGCTTCGGACCTGGCGGCCTTAGGCCAACTCGATCATTTTCTGGCGTTTTCGGGCTAGCCTGGGGAGGGACCGATCCATTAGCTCTAAGTGTCGCTTGTCCTTCTCCCGAACCGTGGCCCTTGTGGTCCGTCGGTTCAGCGTTGATTCATGAGGGAGGCTCGGTATGGAAACGCAAGCGACGCTATTGGTCCTCAGCTGGAAGGGGCTCAAGCTCGTTGATTCGTGGGGCGTTCCGCGATGGACCGCCAAGATGTGATCTACGATATCGGGCCAGGGCCTGGGGTCCCGTGCCGCGATATTGCGTCGTAGCGCAGTCTTTATCACCCTATTCGCGTTTTCTACCAGCCCATTGGATTGTGACATGTGCGGTGCGGTATTCCGCACAGCGACACCATGTATGACCAGGTTCCTTAATACTTCCCCTCTGAATTCTGCCCCGTTATCGGTCAGGATTTCTTCCGTATCCTGGTGCATCCCGAGAAAACGGTTAACATACCGCGCGATTTCGGCGGCTTGCCGCGAGCGACATGGGTAGGCCTCGATCCATTTCGAAAAGTGGTCGACAAATACCAACAGGACTGAATATTCACATCTATTAGGACCCGGGGGTACCACGATATCGGTAGTATCCATACTCACCCTTTGAAAAGGCCGCTCAACTATCGTTGGTACTATCGATCTTGGCGCCTGGATCGGCGCCTTGTCAGCAACGCAAACTTGACAGTTTGCGACGATGAATTTCATATCGTCCCGAATATTGGACAAGTACCACTCATTTTTGTCGATTGCCGACTCCGTGATCCGTACGGCAAAATGGGCTGCCGTTTCCTCGTGTGCTGTCTTCACCCAGTCATACCTCATGAACGGGTGCGGTACAACCATCCAAATCACACTGCCGTTCGTTTTCCATTTTTCTAACCTACCCTCGACCCATCGATAATCCCGAGCCCTTTCATTAGCCCTCCTCCGATCTTCCTTGGTGAAATCCTGGAGGGGGTTACCCACTAAGGTGGCAATCAAAGCGATATTGGTCCATACTTCGGCCCTTCTAAACTTCCTGGTCTTCTCCAATCCTTCTGACGTGGCATCCAAAAAGCGAGCCTCGGTCGGGATCTTGTCAACCCGACACAAGAGGCACAGCCACGGCTTGCTTTCGTTTCTGTATTGGATGCACGAGCCGTGGGCTTGTGCGACGTACTGTCAACAATCTACCCATTCCGCATAGCCTTCCCCATTAGGACGCATGGAGACCGAATATACGGGGGAAATGGCTTCGCAAAAATAGCAAACTTTATCAGGCAGGGAGAGAAGAGATGAAGAGGAGAGGGGAGAAAGAGGGGTTACGGGATTACCTTTGTCACGCATTGCCACCAGTCGCTTCTTGCCACGTGGGAGAACTGCCACTTGTCCGTACTTAGGCCCGTTCGCCGGTTCTGACTCCTTCCACGGAGTGATTTCCTCGCCCTTGGGTACTTTGGCAGGTCGATGCAGACGCGTCAGTCCGTCCGCGTTGTCGTGTCTCTCCGTCTTTCGATGGATGATGTCGAAGTCGTATTCCTGTAGGCGCACCGCCCAACGTCCAATCATGCCCGTGTAATTAGTGAGCTTCTTCAAGGCCAGCAGAGGCTCATGATCCGTCACGACGCGGAACTTCTGTCCGTAGAGATACAGATGGAAGTGTTGGATTTCCCAGACTACTGCATAGCATTCGCCTTGGGGTGCCGAGTCATTCCTCCGTTCGTCTGGCACCGTTCGCGACGCGTACTCGATGACGTGTTCCCGACCATTGTTCCCCTTCTGCGCCAAAATAGCGGAAATAGCCTCCGGTTGCCAGTCCGTGATGAGAATGAACTGTTTCGAGGGGTCCGGTCGAATCAAAATAGGTGTCGTCGCCAGAGCATCTTTGAGGGTCGCGAAGGCCTGCCCGCACTCCGCGTCTCAACTGAGAGGCTGGTCCTTTCGTAACAGGTTCGTTATTGGTCGTGCAATCGCGGCGAAGCCTTTGATGAAACGACGATAGTACGATGTCAGGTTCGATCCAACCGCTGGTTTCAAATTCCCGGATTCGTTCGAGGGCCTTTTTTCGTTCTATCAGGGAATACCGGTAAGGCTTGCAGTGAATTGGGGAATAATTTCCCGTCTGAATTTCGTGTTGAATGACCAATGACAAGCCGATGTCAGTGTCCGTCACACTAATCGCTCCCTGATATTCCGTCAGGATGTCCGCAATCAAACGATGAATCTCATCAGGTACGTATTGTGGAACGTGTAATTCGTAAGGCTGATCCCAGATCCGTATGTCGATCTGCTTCGTATGCACTTGTTTCGCCACATCGGGTGGTGGCGCAGAGATAAATGAATGGTCCGATCGCCAGGAAAACACTGTGGTCATCATCTGAGTGTCTTCCTCGCGGATGGCCACGTGTCCTTCCGGGGTGATTGCATCACAAATATGATCTTGCCATGGTACGGTTTTAGTCACAATCTTAACTCCGAGTTCCTCTGATTCAGCCTCGAAACGCCCAGGGGATTCCAAAGAACTGGCTTCCGCCCCCAAGCGTAATAGTCGTACTTCTTTTGCGGGTGACAGCAAGGATCGTGGTAGGCCCCTGATGTCGCAAAAAGCTCGCTTATCGTTATATCGTGAGAGAAGAGGAGTCGCTTCTTCGTACAGGGTTCGAGGGGGTTCCAAAGAGTCGACCATCCTTGAGATCTGTACGAGGGGTTCACCCATAATCATTGCCTGGGTCCTTTGTTCCTTCTGAGTAGTTAGATGCATCGTTCTTGCGATCGTTCTGGGTGGCGGGTAGTACACACGCTGTCGTGCTAGTCTTAGAATTTCCGGATCATTTTCGTCACTGCTATCCGCATCCTTCGATGATGGCTCATCATCTGCGGAGTTTTCCCATGTGATCATGCGAAGAGTTCCCGCTATCATCGGAGAAACTCGCGGGACTGCGTTGATGGTAGTACGAAGAGTCAGTCTCATAGGTACAGCATAGGGTTTTCCTCCCGTGTTTCGGAGGATGATTGACCGTCGCTCGAAATCTATGTTTGCTAGTAATGCCACAAGAGCACGAAGACCGAAAAGGACATCGTAGGTATTTACATCCAATACCACGACATCCCCCAAGGCGTGCACCTTTCCTAGTCGGAAAGCGACGTTGGTCATCCGTCCCACTGTTTTGATCTTTTCTTCGTCTACCGAAACGAGCTGATCCTTTTCCGTAAGCATGTTTAGATAGTTTCTCCTACCTTCCCTCTCAACTACTCGCAGGGAAATAGCCAGGAAAGCAGCTCTTGAATCAATGATTGCATTGTACGGAATTCCCCATATTTCAATATCGCATTTCGCAAATTTCCAAGGGATGGGTTTAATCCGTAGGAAATGATCGTCTTTCTGAATTAGTCCTACCCGTATTGGATCCGACGTGCCAACCGTATTTTCATCTGGCGTGGGGCCTTTAGCCTTTACGTTCGGTGTTCGAGCGAGGGCGAATCGTTTTCGATTCGCCTTACTGTGTTGTAACATTCGCTCATTAGCCTGTTCAGAAATCGAGAGCAGATGGCCAATCGGAAGTGGAATCCGATGGTCCAAAGCTCGGATGATATTCAGCACATCGATTTCCCCAGTGACGAAGGTGGGTCCTCCCGACTCCATCTCTCTTGGAGAAGGTCACCACTCAGCCACTTCTTTTTGTTCTGGCGCTAGTCTGATCGTCCCGATCATTCCGAGCCCCGGATAACCAAGCGATACGTATTGGTCCAACGGGATGAGCTCAGCAGCTTCTTCCGCGGTAGCTAACGCGCTTCCTCCACCTTCTATTTCCTCCATCAGGGCTCCTACCCGTCCAGGTCCGTTAGCGATGGGGGTTGCTGTCATTGGTGCGACCCCGACCCGTTGTTGCGGGGGCCGGTGGGGGCAATCACGGGCTAGATGCCTTGGTTGATGACAAGCATAACAGACGTTCAGATTGCTCGCGGCTCCCCCGAGAGCAGGTGCCGGGGCTAGCCCTTGTTGGATTGGAGCGACACGTACTGTGATGGGCCGCATGTTCCTCATCATAGCTTCTAGCTGAGCGTTATGTTCTCGCTGTTTCTTTTTGCTTTCTTGGATTAGGCTAATTAACGTTTTAGTCAGTTCAAATATAGCAGTGGACTCATTTGACCGTATAGGATTCTCAATCGGTGGCGGGGTTGCCGCCATTACAGGTGTTTGGCGCCACAGGAACAGGGACACTCGTGACTACACTCGGAGTCGGTCGTTTAGGGGCTATCTGTTCCAAATAGGTGACTGGGCCAGACACAAATCCTATATTTTCGAACTTGTTTTGCAACGCGGCCAGCTCAGCTTTCGCCCTCGCAAGTTCGGACGAATCTCCTTCCTTAGGATAGTCTTTTCCTTCCGGGAAACTCGCCGCGAACTTTCGTTCCATCTCCTCTGCAGCGGCCATAATCTGTTGCAGCGTATGATTGATGGGGGAGAACTGCTTTCGCGGTTTCGCCCTTATCGTTCGGCTGCGAAGTCCATCGATAAACAAATCTCTCCCGACTTGTTCGCCCCGCTCAGTTTTCACAAACATTCGGTAGAACCGATTTCGATATTCCATGATACACTCAAGAGGTTTTTGCACCCGGTCTTTGATCATGAAGAGCGCTTGCTCCAGGTGGACATAGTCGAATCGATTCAAAAAGTCTTGTTCGAAAGTCGGAAGATCCACCCATACATAGGTACTGAACCAATGATGAGCGTCTCCCCCTAATCGGGCGGGAATATTCACCTGAGCTTCGTTATCATCATACTGTTGTGCCCTGAGCGTGGCCAACCAAGCTCCTGCGAGATGATGTGCAGGGTCGAATAGATAGAGATCAGGTGCCGTCATGGGAGCCCGTGCTCGTGGGGCTGGTTGATTAGGATCTGGTTGATTAACATTCTGTTGCGGATTCGGATTTTGTGGATTAGCGTTCATGTTGGTTGCCCGTCGATTAGCCGATCTACTTCGGGTGATGACGGGGTCGCGTCTATGCGCGTTCCGGGGTCGAGGTCGCCCTCGGTTAGCCAGATCGCTCAATTATCGTGTTGTCAATCCTAAAACCCGACCACGTGTCGGGCTCCGATACCAACCTCACGCCTAGCGCGACTTCCTGATCGGAGTAGAGTATGGGCCTGGAAGTGCGAAAAGGGGTGTGCCAAGAATTTTTGGGGAAGTGGGGGTGGAGTCCCAGGTCGGAACTGAGATCTCCTGTGAAAGGGTTTTTCGGGGGCACAGGTGCAATTCGGCAGAAAGGGCGGACCACTTCATAAGGTAGATGGCATGCGCGGGTCCTTCAAGACCGTGTGATCCATCGGTTTTGTGGGTGGCGGTTCGTCGAAAAGTCCCTTCGGGGCGGGTGTGGTTTCGATGAGTCAGTTCGTCGGTTGTTGCCACGTGGGGCCGGTCATCGTACGTTCTGGTGGGGCCCTCGTGGTCCCGGGGTTCTAAGATTGGCGTGTTGTCGGCGATTTCCACAGGGCGTGCTGGGCTAGAAGCGGGCTATGGCTTTCCACGGGATGACCCTGAGTTGGTGATACCAGTGTCGAGCGCATCGGTCCGGCACCGCGCATGCCAGTGCGGGACCCTCTCGGCCGCGTCACGCAGGAGTTGGACCAACCTCGACACGGACACGCAAATGGAGCTTCCTTAGGCCGCTCCGGCCGAGTGCGCCAGCCATACCTCTCGCGAGCNGTCACGCAGGAGTTGGACCAACCTCGACACGGACACGCAAATGGAGCTTCCTTAGGCCGCTCCGGCCGAGTGCGCCAGCCATACCTCTCGCGAGCTCCTACGACAGGATAGGGCCTACGCGAGGCACAACTTACCTCCACCTTACGGGAGTTGTCACCTCCCTTTGGTGGGCGTATCCCCGCCGATCTACGAGTCCACAGTACGAAAGTTACTCCGTTGCAATCGCAGAGGTGGACCAGCCGAGGGCGTTTCTCGTTCGTTGTCGCATAGGGGGTACGCGCGGTAATACGCCTATCGGACCCGCACGCGAGCCGACACCTTGGGGGGATGAAGTCCCAAGCGCGGCTCGACGTCGGTCGACTAGGACGCCTCCCACGCACCACGCGCACACCACTCTCCGAACACACAAAAAGAACACGCACACACACACATACAAAAGGACACAGCTCAAACAACCCGATAACGCTCCTAGTCCCTCGGTAACCAACCCATAACTTTCCGATACGGAAATCGGATGGGCGTCGCGCGCGACGATTAGTATAAAACCGTGCAGGCGCAGGGCTGACTCATATCGACTCGCAACGCAAGCGCACGCAAGCGGTCACAGTGATGGCGTACCATGTAGTACCCATACTCGCGCGGTCCTCGTTAATCTCGAGGGTCGCGTTCGACACTCAAGTATCGGCTGACACGCGCCTTGAGGGTTAATCTCTCGACGTTGGACAACCGCCATGCGCGGTTGAAGACCACACACCCTCTCCTGCACCCTTATGCAGAGTGGGTGGTACACGGGTCCACAGCCTGTGGTGGCAGTCATCTCTCGCGGCCCTGGGGGTGAGTCCTCCCCGCGCCTGAGCGAAAGTCAAGGGGTTTGACTTTGACGGCTGCCACGGACTACAACGTCCAACCATAAAAATCCCTAACGAGTAGACGGGGCACACACAAAAGCAAGAAGAGGGGCTAGGGCGAAGGCCCCCCCTTCCCTTAAAGGGAATCGTGACCTTGGGGTACCCCCCCCCTCTACGATTGGTGTCAGCGGCCTACAATAATCCAAGCGCTGCACTCACGTGTGAACCCGACAATCCCATAACCTTTAAACGCCGGCGGGGCGGGATGTCGCGCGCAGGGCTCTGATATAAAACTGCGCGGCCGCAGGCCAATCCTATGTCAACCACCGATGCCAATCATACGTGGTACCCGCGGCTCCGGCCTCGCGATATTGAATGGCTGAAATAACACATCGCGGGGGGGGTTACCCCTCACGATATTGAATGGCTGAAATAACACATCGCGGGGGGGGTTACCCCTCACGATATTGAATGGTTGAAGGACACGCCGTTCGGCCCTTGCGACATTTTCGCCTTTCAGGTGGGGTGTCTCGCCGGCCAAAATAAACAGGCTCTATGCAAGGGGAGACTCCTCCCCTTCAGGGCCTGGGGCTTGGGATGTCCTGGACAAGGACCTGGAATCCTGGCCCAGGACCAACGTCTGACTAAGGAAGCCCCAAGACGCAAATAGGCAAAAGGGAGGGTCTTCCCTGTCCCTCAATCCCAACTCTCACGCGGTTGTTAACATGGCCTCTTAAGCCTCCCGAACACTCATCATACGTATATMCACGCATACATACGGAAGGGGGATAGAGTTATGATGATCACTTCTCACAGGCACAGTGGGACTCCTCACAACCATGTATATGTATATGGAATCGCAAGCAGTCCAAATTCAAAATCCGAGTCACAGGACATACCTGCAACCACACCAAGAATCAAGCGACAAAACACACACTACACGGAGTCAACCCCAACCATTCTCTATGCTCATACCCCTTCACTTTAGCCATGCAAGCCCCAACTGCCAGTCCAACCAACCTCAATTAAATACTCAGTACCTTTGTTAAATGGTCATTCAAAAAAAGTCCGGGTGAAACCCTTAACAAACAGTAAAAACCACCAGGGCTAAAACCTTTTAGGTTGAGTATGGAGGGTGAGTTGAGATTGAGTCGAAGACCGACGAATCGGCAACCGACATGTTATCAGTGATAACAGAGGATGATCCTCGTAGGATCAAGCTGATACTAGTCCGAATCCTGAATCGAAGTCCGACGAAAGTCTGTACCATAAGACAGGTCAACCCCCAAGCTAATCTCATAAGTGTACGGAGAATACAACTCCATGGCAAATTCTCACCAAAATCTTTCTAACTAGCTAGGCCTAAATCTATCTTTAAGCAGCGCTCAAAGCAAAGGYAGACTCTGGCTGAATCTCCCCTATTTAGGGTGGATTGCTAATATCGCCGCCTGTCAAAATATATTCTAACTTTTCTAAATCAAGAAAATTTCGGCAGCGCTTCCCGTAGGAAAAGTGTCTTTTCAGAATTTATATCAGCCCAGATATAAAGGCAGAAATAAACTCCAAATCTGGAAAGTCAAATTCTGTCTAACTCCCTTAATTAGTAGAAATTTTGGCAGCATTCCCTCTAGAAAGGGAGACTTTCCAGATTTATACTAAGTCAGATTCGAACTCAAAAATAACCTTGAGTCCAATTTAGACAAGATTTAACTAACTCCTTAGTTTTGCAGAAATTTTGGCAGCACTCCCCCTATAAAAGTGCCCTCCCAAAATTTATACAAAGCCAAGTTTAGACCCTGAGACTAACTCCGACATCCCAAAGCCCAATTTTGTCTAACTCCCTGAATTAGCAGAAATTTGGGCAGCACTCCCTTTAGAAAAGGAGGCTTTCCAGATTTTTACTAAGTCAGAGATGACGAAAAGACGAGCTGAACTTTGGTTAGTCAAAATTTATCTTACTCCTTGAATCTGTAAAAATTTCGGCAGCGCTTCCCATAGGAAAAGTAGCTTGCCAGAATTTATACAGGTCCAAGTATAGTAACGAGGCTCAGAAAATGCAAAAATCGATCTAAGTAAAATAAAGTCAACTCGAAAATATAGGAATTGACCTAACTCCTATCGCTCTAGCACGTGGCGAGTCTCTAAAG